AGGGATGACGACTAGGTCGAACGGTCATAAACTACTACAAGACCGTTTCAGGCTGGACATAAGGAAGAATTTCTTTACTGTCTGAGCCCCCAAGGTCTGGAACAACCTGCCACCGGAGGTGGTTCAAGCGCCTACACTGAACACCTTCAAGAGCAAACTGGATGCTTATCTTGCTGGGATCCTATGACCCCAGCTGACTTCCTGCCCTTTGGGCAGGGGGCTGGACTCGATGATCTTCCGAGGTCTCTTCCAGCCCTGATGTCTATGAAATCTATGAAATACCTTCTTCCATGAGAAAATTAGTTTGGAGGTATAGAAAGTAGGAAGAGCCCTGGCCAGAAGAGACAGAAGCCCTCTCATCTCCTGCCTGTCTGCAGCTACTTGCTCACAAGAGATGATACTGGAGAAATAGCTCAACCCCATGAATAGTCATTTACCTGAACAGATTAAATAAAGCAGAGTGCTAAGTAGAAGAGGAGGCTTTATTTTCTCTTGCCCAACTACAGGTACCCAGCCTTTCTTAGTTTCTTAGAATTTCTCCATGTATGTTTTTTAAAGAATTTTTTTTTGCAAAAATTTAGTTGGTCTAATAAAAGGTTAGACCTCTACCATAAGTCTTGATTGCTTTTGTCTCTACATCAATTCAGCTACAACCCAAATACCTGATTCCATGTATGTTTGACATTTGAGAACATTTTAAGTTGCATATAATTTATACTAGGGGTCTGAAACTCATCCGGCCTTGTGGGATGAATGAGTGTCACCGGGTTGGTCTGCTTCAATTTGTTCAGGGCTAGTCCAGTGCAGTGTTTGCGCAGACTGACCCATCCCCCTCCCCCCCCAACTGCATGTAGTGCCAGATCCAGTCCATGTGCCACCTGCAGTGTAAGCCCTGGAGCACGACTGGTGCATGCTGCATGCAGACTGGATCTGGCATTGCAGATGCTGCATATGGCACAGGGGGTCAGTTTTAGATCATATGGCTCTAAGAGCTGGATCTGGCCTGTGTGCTGTATGTTTGACATCCCTGATTTATATTACGTACAGATTAACTGATGTCTTGGCTTCTCCAGTTTACCAGATGTTCTCACCAGTAGTGGAGTCTAATAACACAAAATAGGAGAAGAAATTTGATTAGTTGGCAAATTCTAGAATACAGAACATTTGGGAAGAGCAAAGTGTACCTTTTAATTCTAATGAATGGCATTCATCTTCTGGAGTAAAATGATAACATTGTACAGAGTGAGAGGGGGGAAGCCTACAATCCCTTACCTCCCTGAAAATGGTGAAAAACATCTTGTAGTAGTTATTTATATGCTTTGGGTGCAGGCTGAGGACAGAATATATAATTTCCATAGCAACCTTTTACACTCATCTACAAAATCCATCATCTTCAAAATGCTGAAAGTGCTGAGATTTTTTTCCTGCAGAACTGATGCCAGATATGCAGTAACTAAAAGAACATTTGCATACTATATGTATACCAATCTATTCCAGGGGTTGTCAACTGGGGATACGTGTACCCCCAGGGGTACTTGGGAAGGCCCTAGGGGGTATGCACAGGTGAGCAGGGACAGAGTGCCACCACCCTGCGCTGCCATCTCCCAGGAGTGGGGCAAGGGCAGCAGCACCCCTCTGCAGGCTGCATAGGCACCACACAGTGGGTCGGATGCAGTGGGGAAGGGGGAAACTTGCCGCTGCCATCCACCACCCCGTGCTGCTGCTCCACGTTCAGCTGTGCCCCCCCCTCACTTCATCTCCAGCCGCCAGACTTACACTTATTAAAAAAGGTTGAAAACCCCTGATTTATTCCATTTCTTAATTGGTGTGAGTTGTAACAAGCTGCCATTATAATGGCACTATACACTTAAACATAGCCGAGATGAACGTGAGCTGACAGTGTAACGAAGCCACCAACAAGCCAATCGCACCTTGTCGTGCATTACCAACAAACAAGGGAGGTGATGCTCCCCATCTATGCGGCATTGGTCAGGCCACAGTTGGAGTACTGTGTCCAGGTTTGGATGCCACACTTCAAGAGGGATGCGGAGAATCTGGAGAGGGTTCAGAGGAGGGCCACTCGCATTATTAGTGGTCTCTGTGAAAGACCCTATGAGGTGAAGCTGAGGGATCTGGATCTCTTCAGCCTTCACAAGAGACATCTGAAGGGAGACCTTGTAGCTG